AATTGTGAAAAATAGATGGATCAACTGGGTTTTAGGAATCCGTCTAAGAGTAGAATGTTCGTATTTGCAGTTGATGGCCAAACATACCGTATTTCCTTTAATAAGCGCCGGGATAAAGCAGCGGTAGCGCCAGGTACGTTTTTTTATAAATGCATTCTCCCTTGATCCAAAAATACATTTATTAAGGAATGGTACATAACTTTGACATAACGCTCACTAACATTGGAGACCGGGAATGTATTGAAGGCTAGGTGTTTATTGAGGAGTTTGTGTCTAATGGAGATTCGGGGTTTATGGAACACTGGTATTTCGTGAAGATTGGACTTTTACTGAAGCCTGGAGTTCGATAGAGGTGAGTTTTTTGAGGTTGTGAAGATAGACCGCGTGATGCTGAATGAGATTGGAGACATGGAGTTTAACTCTTCATCGGATTAGTCATTGTACGAGTTACACTGGGATCATTCATCTTATGGTGTATAAACGAGATCCTGAATATATTAGGGGAAATACGGTATGTGTTAAACCCAGCAACACGGCAGTGTTTGTGTGTGGATGAATGACATAGTTTATTAGCTTGTACACTGTAATGGGTTGTTTGGGGTATACCGTAGTTTAAATACTGCTTGTACGTCTTTAGTTGTATCGTAAATACTAATTGTTCTTAACACATTTGCCATGAATTTATGAACTGTCAAACATTCAAAGTTCCGGCTAGATTTATCGTGACTCACTGAGATGTAGTAACGAGAGTGAGAGGTGTCTCTCATAAACATTGGCGCAATCGACTCGAACATGGTCTTGAATCCAACAGTAATATCGGACCTCCGTTCCGTGTCGTCCCTAGATACACAGCACAGGAGTCCAGGCGCCGTATTTGTTTCTCACTTAAAAAATACACTCACCCATAATACTTCGAAAAATAACTACACTAAATATGCAATATTTACTCTAATTATATATTTTTACATCTATGATTTTCGGAGAGAAAGGTCAAAATGTGATAAATTATGCCCACCTTTTTTACAGTTACTGTAGTTCTGTTAGAAGGAAGGATAACAATATATGGATGAATGTATCTGTTCTGTTAGAATTGCCTTTACCATTTGTAAATACCGTAACAAATGAGAAATGATTTTTTTTTCAGAAAAACGGGTATATATAAACACGAGAACCTCTTCCTCGACGTAGTGTTGCAATTAGCTGGGGGTGTAGGGAGGCTAGAGGTTACCTCTTCAGTCCCTGATGGAACACACACACACACACACACACACACACAAATCAGCTAGGGTGTAGGAAGTCTGGAGGTTACCTCATCAGACCCTGATGGAACACACACACACACACACACACAGAGCTCGGGTGTAGGAAGGCTAGAGGTTACCTCATCAGAACCTGATGGAACACACACACAGTCACACACACAGACAGAGAGAGAGAGAGAGAGAGAGAGAGAGAGAGAGAGAGAGAGAGAGAGAGAGAGAGAGAGAGAGAGAGAGAGAGAGAGAGAGCTCTGGTGTAGGAAGGCTAGAGGTTACCTCATCAGACCCTTATGGACTGCTCTTCACTTTCCCACAGGGTGGTGAGTCACCACCGTGACGTTATTGAATGTTTTATCTTTTATATCCGATGGGTTTTAACGTGCAGACGTAACAGTGATGCAAACATAACCACACACCTACTCCCAGATAAAGCATTGGGATACGTGCTATATATGCTCTCTGTGTTTTCAGTACATAGAGAAAGTACACTATATTCTCATACATTTCACAACAGTTGTCGCCAACGCCGTACATCTGAATGAAAAGTTGTGGGTTCAGCATAAAAGCAGGTCACCCATGACAGGAAAAACGGAAATCTCAAAGTATGCTGTGAATGTATACCTTCCCAAGATGCGTCCAGTACAGGGACACATAGATACAAACGACAAAATACGGAAATGTATACAATGTACTTACTGTGCTCCAGTGCTGTACTCGTCCTCAACAAACGGCGTTATATAATGGGCTTTTCCAATACAATGTACAGTGTCCCCACTTCAACTATACTGAAGACTTAGCAAATATACGGCTTTTCTCCACACCACTAGAGTTTTCTGTTGTTCTGCTCTCTTATACATAAGCTAGGAGGTCCCTGTGCCCATATGTATGTGTATGTTGAGACCATGGAGGAGGTTTGCTCAGGCGATGAATTGTTAATGTGTCGTTTTATTTGTGACATTCTAGCGTGACACTATTATAATCACAGTTCAGGGTACGGCTTTGTGTATATACAGCAAGGCAGTATATCAGGCCTGAAGTGAATTTTACTTGTGTGATGACCATTTTACTTGGCTTTCAATCAGAAAAACATAATGTCAGCTTATTTCTACTCATTTGGGTAACGCTGTTAACGCCAGTGTACAGTAATTACTCAAATAACATCTCGTCACTGATATGTTTGGTGTTTAGTATTTCGAACTTCGATCGATTGGTCTATTCCTAAACGAAACAAACTGCCAGACAAAATAGCATATACCAGTGTCAGTAAACTCACACAATGCGAAGTGGTGTCTCTAAATTCGCGCGCACGCACAGACATACATTCACGCACGAGCTCAGTTATCGTTCGTATTGGTTGAACTGCTTCCATTGGCGGATCCAGGGGGTTCGAACCCCCCTTTTGAAAGTGACTTTGAGACCACATTGAAGATGTTTTGCGTGCGTTCGAACCCCTGAAACGGACCCCCCCACCCCACCCCCATTTCAAAATTCCTGGATCCGCCCATGGCTTCGTCTGACATGGCCCGACTGCTTACTCGGGGGCCTGGGTAGGTCAGTGTCCTGGACGCCGCAACTGCTGGTCAATACTGCATACCTTAGCCGCCTGAAGCCAAAAATCGTGGGTTTGAATCCCATTTCAACCCGAGTATATCTTTAGGTTGCAAGAAGCAATATGTGAAGGCTATATTCACAGCCAGAGGTGGTGATTTTCATGCAGCAAAATATGTATGTACTACAAGCCGCTATAATCGCTGAACGGTGGTTAGAATGTTTAAGCTCTGGTCATTGCACTCGCTCCTTGATTCAACAGGCCGGTTGTCTGTCCTGATGTGGAATTCTAGTAAGAGGTGAATGTACAGAAGGGGCCAGTCACAAGACATTGTAGGAAGCTCCGACCTTCATACGAAGGTCGGTCAAAAAGTAGTCGGCCTAACTATACTCTCAATGTCCAATGTTTGAAAAGCTTCCATTTCATTTTGAAGAAATCATTAGCAAAGCCATAACCAAAATTTCACATATGTGGGTACTGTGGTAACACATTGGGGTATAATATTTCTTTAAATTACTATACTGAACATATTTTATATGATATTATCTGAGGGCATACCATTATCCATGAGGTACCAAATGACAGATCTAAAGATTTCAGAAAATTATATACGATCTGTCATTTGGTACCTCTTGGATATTTAGATTTCAGAAAATTATATACGATCTGTCATTTGGTACCTCTTGGATAATGGTATGCCCTCAGATAATATCATATAAAATATGTTCAGTATAGTATTGTAGTTTAGCGATTGTAGTTTCAAATTGTTTGTATGCACTTAAATATCTAAGTTTGACTCTAGCGGACTTCTGCCTATCTCAAACACACAAAATGTTTCTTGCATATTTTGTTTCCTGAAGTTTTTGATGCATTTATTCCAGATTTTGCGTTTTGGGGACACCAAGATAAAAGTATAACAAAATGGGGATCGTGAGGCTGGAACGTAGCAAAACCAATTTGCTTGAGGTTGACAGATAATATGTAGAAAAATAAAACATAAAAACAGCTGCATTTGTATCATTTTCTAGGTGAGGCTGACTACTTTTTGAACGCCCCTCGTACATTGTTCATAGAAAGCCATGTCCATTATATGTGTATCAGATGAAAATATGTTACTGTAAAACACTTCCTTGTTTGGGTCAGACATACACCCTTCAGTAAACAATGGTGACATAATCCACGAATGAGTTACTGTCTTGGATGTTACGACGTTCCGACTGCTGTTTCAGCTATTGTCTGTTAGCAATATTCCAGCAATATCACTGCGGGGGACACGAGAAATGGGCTTCACACATTGTACCCGTGTGGGGAATCGAAACCGGGTCTTCGGCGTGACGAGCCAAGGCTTTAACCACTAGGCAACCCCGCCCCAAAGGATGGTTATTGGAAATGTACCTCAGGAATTTTCATAGGGGGCATATCCCCCACCCCACCCCTGTACACTCCCTTAACACTAGTATCTCGTGCACAAAGCTGGGGTGTGGCATGGACACTTTCTTTCACGCCACCCAAAACTGAACCCTTTAACACCCTCAGTTCACATTATCTCATCGTTGGGCCCGCGACAATATCACAGTGATCATCTTAATGTTTACATAAGGAAGGATAACAATGTATGGATGAACAACTTCTTTATTGCTGCGAAAGCGACGTTTCGGTGTAGGTTCTAACACCGTTATCAAGCAAGTGAAGGACAGCATAAGGATGGAGGAGCATATATACAAGTTAGAGCAGATGTTTGTACAGTACAATGGGGATTAGGAAGCCAGACACAATAACACATGGGCTGGATGAACGCGTAAACAATTGAAGCCTGCAAAGTACACAATGGGAAGTGAAGCCTGTGATATACATAAATAGGTGATTATGAGGATGATGCGTTGTATACATAAATGGGGGATTATTGATGATGAGGATCTTTAATATGTAGTAACCTTGGTCACGGTTGATTGATGGCTGGAGTCTTTTGATGTAGATGGCTTCTTGGAGTTTCCTTAGTTTATAGTCTTCAACCCACGTATTCAATAGGTGTAACAAATCACCAAGAGATTCTGCAAATAAATACTTAAAGTGTGTGATAAACTTATTTTCTGTGTCCTTTGACCATACATAGTTGACCCATGTTTCCAAAAAATAACATATAACATATACGATGAATTGCAATATAAATAACAAGGAGGAAACGTTTCCGTTCTTGAAACGGAAGAAATCTAGACATGCCGAATGTTATAGACTTGCATGTGTATGTTGGGCATATGATCCAGTATGGGTGTGACAAGCCAAGAATGAAAAAGTAGGCAAGTTCGCCTTGAAGGCGCATCTCCGTCAAAACACAACGCACTTCTATACAAGGCTCAGTTACTTAGGGGAGGCAACTCTTACTGCTTACATTTGACACTGGTGGAGTAAAGTGAGGGTCAACTTCCGGAATAGAAGATAAACGAATCAAACCAGCATGAGCGCCAGTCTGTTTGGATATCGAATAGGTTCAGTTATCTGTCGAAGAATTTTTGGGTCGACAAAACTCCAAGGATACCATGCGTGTGCTGTAAGAAGGATGTTAGAAGCATTTTTGTCGTCGATTTTGTTATTAGCCGTTTATGTCAGTCACTGCCTTCGAAGAGATGCCAAACTGGCACTGCCCAGATTAATCTGGTCAAAGAAGTTTTCATTTCAATACGCTTTTACCTTCGCGGCATTGGTTTACAGGAATGGAATCATATCACATACCGCTTGCTGCATACTATAAACACCACAGACACCATAATCATGGCATGTCTTGAAGTAATAACAGAGATATCAGTCATAAACGACAAGAGCAGATAATATATTGAAGTTGATTTAGGCTGAACAATGTGCCATGAGGCTGAATAAGAAAAATATAATTAAAAAAACAAGGGTAGGGAGCAATTAAGATTGATTAAACAAGTTGAAAAGATGAGGGGGGATGCTGCACATGGTTGAGAACACGACACACAATTCTGGTTAGGGACCTTTCACAATTTATGGGTAGGGGGGTGATGATTTTTATGGAGAAGCATGTACAATGTGAATGACCCCCCCTAAAATTTATGTACAAAATAAGTGACCCCCTGCATGTCATGTACAAAATCAATGACCCCTCCTCCCTCCCCTTCCTATAATTTCTACAAAAATTTATGACACCCTCCCCCCAGCTCCTTCATCACCCCTAGCCATAAATTATAATCGGTCCCTTATTATGCCAGTTAGACATCTTGACACATGATTCTGCAGTTAATCTAGTTTATGTCAATTTGTCATCCATATTTCAATTTTTCTAAATATTCCACAATATGTTTTCTTTCGCTCCATTGTCTGGAGATTAAATTTCCAACTTAGTATCAAAGTAACAGTTCATGTATGCCTTACCGTGCCACTTACCATGAGCAGTGCGCTGCTGACTGCACGTAGCTGTGTCAGAGAAAGGTTGAGACACAGCAAAGTGTAGGCATCTTACTCTGGTCCATGACATCTCCATTGCAGATCAGGCCCAGCACAGACAATTCTTTCAATGTTAGTCTATATACTTTGTACAGCTGCTGAGTCTTGCTTGCCTGGTAATAATATGCATGTATTTGTTCCAGTGTTTACGAGTACCCCCTGTCTGCATACACACATTGAGTGATGTGAGGAGTGCAGCAGCAGCACCAGGCAGGCACTGTTTACATACTACCAGCCTCACCAGCTTTTCTACAGAGGGGAGCAGCCAGGTAACTGTCTCCAGCCTATGTTTCAAAAGACCTGTACAGTGGGACATCCATCATGTGGATAATTACCTGTCCTCTGCAGTTTAGTAGCCTCAGCTTAGCACACATTTCACAGGCTGTGTCTATGTATGCTGCTGAAAGGTGTCTCCAAACCATAAACTTGACCATGTTGTCATCTGGCAACATAGTCATGACACAATTAGTTTGTATTTGTAAGTGAAAATATATAGTAGTCTCAACATAATCGAGATGCTGTACAATGATTGATATATATATCACTTGAACAAAATGGAACCTTGTATGCCATGTATGCCATGTGTATTACATGCAATGTTTGTATAGAGTACAACTTTGTATAGAGTACAACATTGAATTAAGTACACCAGTTCTAATAATGGTAGTGAAGAAACGGCCCTTCCCAACTCCCCCCACCGCTCATGTCAACACAGTGATGGAAACAAATCCCATGTTGTTCTAGTGGCTGATGGTTTTCTGTGGACTGTCAGATATGAATAATATTTGACATAAATAATTCATCCGTCATGAATTTGGAGAAAGTTACATGATTCTTACTGGTCAGTGAAAGGTGTGATGAGGAAAGACACATTGTTTCAGTGCTGCTTTGACTTGGTGTATAGCTTCTGATGCACAGGGGTAACAGAAAATTTGACTTCACACTGGAGCTAATATTTAATGTTCAAGTTTAGAGATAAGTACCTCTTTCTTAGACTTGGTCAATAGATATTTATGAATGATATTTGTACAAATAAAGCTAAACAAGATGCAAGTGACGTTTAAAGCGGAGTTAAAATAATATTCAGATCCTAGCTTGAGTAAAGGCTACCGAGTGGCACACTCTAGGGATAACTGTTAGTAATAAATTGCCCAGTTATTGTTAGAATCTGTGGGATAAAGAGTAGTTATATAATAGGGGTTCTATTACAGGGTACCTTATAGGCTTATTTCTACGTAATTCCGCTCCCAGCGCCTAGTATAAAATAGTGATTTTTTAGCAGAGACACCATTCAATGTACAGCCGAGCTCGCCAGCCTAGACCCATTTTCGCTAGGGCAACCCATTTTTCAGCAACTACTGACTGGGGGTCTCGGAAACTCCCAACGCGTCGCGGTCAAATCAGTGGTTTATGCGCGTGTGTCCGTACGCGTAAGTTGTGACGCTGTCGACGGCGATCCACCATTTGGTATACATCAGCGACAAGGAGGTTTTGTTGAGAGTGATGCAGTAGATGTTGTGCTTGTCGCTTCTCTACGCATTCATTCGGTGTTTGAATGTTTTATTCTTGAACAGAGCTTGTTTGAAGAGGGCATGCTTGGTGTGTTGTTTCACCACGTATTTTTTCAGCCCTTTCGTCTTTCGGATCTCACCGTTATTGGCTTTCAGGATGGAATACATCTTGGGTCTCAATCTGACGTATTCAGCGATGGGTGTGCCCGCGCATTCATCCTTCATCTTGCCGAGGACCTTTTTATTGGTCGTGCTGTGTAGGGCGTGGTCTTGGGGGTACAGCACCTCACATCGATCGTCGTACTGTTGTTTGAGTCGGTTGTATTAGAAATCGTACATGAGATGTTTGAAGAGGTCGAGGATGCTCATCCCCACGTAGACGGGCCGGTTGAGTTTGATGTGGCTTTTGTTCATGTGCAGCGCCGCCAAGTCGTTATCGAATAGCTTGCTTCAGTTGAATGCCGGTCTGGCGATCAGTTTTTCCTCATGGTGCGATTGCCCGAGTTTCACGTTGACGTGTTGCCTCAAGTTTTCCATGGTTTTGCCGAATACCGAATTGTTCATGAGTTTGTAGAGGTTTTTCTCGAAGTTGCTTGTGGCTCGTTTTCTCAATTCGGTGTTCAACCGAATGTACGGTTCCATCCAGGGTTTTTGATCAAATTTGATCTCTAGGTGTATTTTGGTCAGCTTCATACCCAGCGACAGGTACAGCTGCAGGTTGCGATAGTGCACGACGTACTTGATTTTGGTCATCAAGTTCAGGACGAGTTTTTCCACCTGAGCCTGTGTGTTCTCACCCAACAAGTCTTGCTGATAGTCGGACATCCAGTCTCGATCGACCATCAATTGTTCGGGAGCCAGCAGCTAACTGTTGTGGCTTTCGCGTACCGTTGGAGACCATGGATATCCCGCCGCGCATGCCCTTCTCGACAAACAGGTGCATGTCGTAATCCGTGAACAATTCAAGTTTGATGCCCGTTTTCTTTAGCAGCACATCCCACGAGAGACCGGGGCTGGTGTAGTACCACCCGGGGTCGAGTTGATACTGTTTCAAACACATCGTTCTGAACGTCTCGAACACGACGACCAGCAGGAGCACGTCCGTTTTCAAGTACAGCTCGTGGTAGTCGCCAAGATCCTTGCAACCCAGTTTCTCTCACACGTTTTGGGCGTGGTCGTAATCGTCCTGGGAGATATTAGATTCAGTTAAGCTGCTGAAAAATCGGTCGAGGGGGGTAATCGCGTCTCGTCGATATAAGACCAATCATCCATGTAGTTTTTGAGCAGCAGAGGTCGAGTCGCTGCATCAGTGTATCGATGGGTGATGGCGAAGGTATCGTTGGCCTTGACCAAACTGTCGAGCGATGACAGGAGGAACTGAGCGCTATCGATAAATCTCAGACCGTTGAGCGAGAACGAGATGTATTTTTCCATGTTGTTGGGGATACACTTGATATCACCGCCGACCTTCGAGATGGCCTGCATGATCAGGTGGGCATCGTACCCTCTCTAATTGTGGAAGACAGGGGATGTTTTGGGGATCGATTCTAAGTTTTAAGTTGCACGAGTTGTGAGCGGCGCCTTGGTATCGACCGGTGATGTGACAATGATCTCTCACCGAATCACCGTTCAGGGGTCCTCGACATATGTGACAATATCTAGCTCGTCAATGAGCGAACTCATCCTCTGGAGTCATATCCATGGAGGCAGGATCCGACAAAGCTTCCCTGACGTTTCTCTCTTCGCGCTGTAAGAACGTGAGAAATGTTTGGGACCTAGGTAAATCACCGGTGGTTCCGTTTTTCCATCGCATCGGACGACCACGTACCCGAACCCGCAGGCTTGGTGTTCTTGCGTTTTGTACGTGAAACTTTTTGTCTGGGGATGGCGTGACGGTGTTCACCTGTTTAATGAGAGCTTCGAAGTCGGCTTAGATGACGTAGGGCAGGGGCATTTGATGTTTGTGGTTAATGAATTCTAAGGTGTTTTTATTTTCTCGAGACATATGGATTCTGATCGCTGTCTCTCCCACGCCTCGGAAATCCTCCCGGTGCGATTCTAATAAATCAGCACTAGAATACCCATGCAGGCACTGTTCGCAGAAATGTTTCTTTTCTCTATGCGTCGATTGATCGTACAACAGTCGGCTTAAACTTTTAATCACCGTGTAGTGATACTGGTTGCCTTTATCGACTAGGAATAAATTGATTCTGCGCACGGTTTTGTCTCTCACAGAGCTTATCCTGTGCACGATGGTTTTGTCGCCTTCGTGGCCGAACACGTTGACAGCCAAATGGTTTTGTTTTTCGAATCTGGTCCAGTAGGAGATGGGCGTTAAGCGTTCTACACCTGTGAAGTCGAACTCGGATGCCTCGATCAATGGCTAGCTGGAACGCCTGCAAGGATTACCCGTCGGTTCCTGCGTAGCAGCTATGACTGCCACCACCGCGCAGTAATTATTAACATCATCGCCTTTGGTTTCAGGGTTAACGAGGGCCTTTTTATCTCTGAAATGCTTGGGCACCGGTATGTGCAATCCACCTCTTAGCAGCATGTAGTTCGCTATGTCGAGATAAACAGTGTTGATTATTTTGTCTACCACCCATCCAGAGCCCATGTAGGTATATTTCTCTTGTACTTTTTGGAACGACGCGTCGATGGATGATGCAATCGATTCTGGTTGAGTTAGGACTTCCTATTGCCTCTGAAATAGGGCACGATGGACTCGGTACTGCCGTCCGTCTGAGGTTTTTGGAGCGTCATTTTTATTGACAGTTGGTATTTGATGCTTTTCAAATCGTTTAATTCTTCGCGAAGTTTACTGTAGATTACGGGTTTGATTTTATCGGTACCTATATTAGAATCGACCACCATTTTCCAACCTCGGAGATACTTACCCACGGCATGGTCCGTCGGCACGAATCGCAGTTCGACCGGCTCGGTGTCTTCCAGGAGTTCAATCAGCTCGGCTTTCCTCATGCGAGTAACCAGTCAATCCACGTTCTTTAGCTCGAGCTTTGAGCTCTCGTTCAGTTCGGGGCTTGTCATAGTTCATGTCGAGCGAGGCCAGCAATTTGGCTTTCCTCATGCGAGAATAACCAATCACACAAAACGCTTCTTAGCCAACGCTTTCAGTTCTCTCCGACAGTAGCCATGTTATATGCCATATGAAAGCTGTTTCAATTGGTTGTATTCCATATGAAAGTCAGATGTCTAATAGGGTGTTGGGATGCTGGGAGGTAACTCCGTCAGCCTTCTCTGACATGAAGCGCCCGTAAAATCTTTTAAATGTTAATATTCCTGAGTCTCCTGAATTCATAATACTGCATTGCACCATTATCTATATGACAATCCAAGTAAATCCCAAAAAATTCCATGCTAAGCCAAGCAAACTGGTATGGTGCAATGCAGTATTACGATGGTACTACTGCACATGCAGCTTAGAAGTGTCTGAATTTGGCCCCAGGGACAGGTTAGAAAAATAAAAAGTTCCAATAAAAAAATAGCAAAAGCCCTCTGTGGCCACAACCGACGGAGGGAGAAATTGTGTTTTTTGCCAGAGACCAGCCTGGTCCCTGATCTGATGTTTGTGGTGCGCTGGTATTTCTCCCGTGAGGTTGTGGTCGACTGCGTTCTCCCATGAGAGCTCCGTGGTTGTTTTTTTCGAATGGTAGGCTTCGAACTTCGGTCACAGAGTTGCGCATCTCTGTACCTTGATCGTACCCAGCAGGCGTTCGACTGAGCCACAGAGGACCTGAAAGCCAAGTGCTCAGTTTAACGGATCTATCCTGAGATTGCATCATCCTCTGGATGAAACTGGGTTGCAAGAATCTGGGCGACTACCACGACCTGTACTTGAAAACAGACATGCTCCTGCTGGTTGTTCACTGATTACGACATGCACCTGTTTGTCGAAAAGGCATGCGCGGCGGGATTTCCATGGCCTCCGAACGGTACGCGAAAACCAACAACCCATACATGAAAAACTATGATTCAAACAAGCCCACCAACCATCTCCTCTATCTCGACATAAACAACCTGTACGGCTGGGCTATGAGTCAGTCTCTACCTACGGGCGGATTCAAGTGGATGGATAGCAAAAAATTTAATCCGAAGAACATTATGGCCATCCCCGACAACTTCGAGATAGGATACCTGTTCGAAGTGGACTTGGAGTACCCCGAAGCATTGCACGAATCGCACAACAGTTATCCGCTGGCTCCCGAACGATTAATGGTCGATCGAGACTGGATGTTCGACTATCAGCGAGACTTGTTGGGTGAGAACACACTTGCTCAGTCGAAAAACTCGTCCCGAACATGATGACCAAAATCAAGTACGTCGTGCACTATCGCAACCTGCAGCTGTACCTGTCGCTGGGTATGAAGCTGACCAAAATACACTGAGAGCTCAAATTTGATCAAAACCCTGGATGGAACCGTACATTCGGTTGAACACCGAATTGAGAAAACGAGCCACAAGCAACTTCGAGAAAAACCTCTACAAACTCATGAACAATTCGGTATTCGGCAAAACCATGGAAAACTTGAGGCAACACGTCAACATGAAACTCGGGCGATTGCACCATGAGGAAAAACTCAGAAAACTGATCTCCAGACCCGCATTCAACCGAAGCAAGCTATTCGATAACGACTTGACGGCGCTGCACATGAACAAAAGCCACATCAAACTCAACCGGCCCGTCTACGCGGGGATGAGCATCCTCGACCTCTTCAAACATCTCATGTACGATTTCTAATACAACCGACTCAAACAACAGTACGACGATCGATGTGAGGTGCTGTACACGGACACCGATTCCTTGTTGTTGAATATACGTACCGAGGCCGTGTACGAGGACATGGCGAAACACATGCACCTGTACGACACCAGCGATTACCCCCAAGACCACGCCCTACACAGCACGACCAATAAAAAGGTCCTCGGCAAGATGAAGGATGATCGCCGATCGCCGAATACGTCAGATTGAGACCCAAGATGTATTCCATCCTGAAAGCCGATAACGGTGAGATCCGAAAGACGAAAGGGGTGAAAATATACGTGGTGAAACAACACACCAAGCATGCCCTCTTCAAACAAGCTCTGTTCAAGAATAAAACATTCAAACACCGAATGAATGCGTAGAGAAGCGACAAGCACAACATCTACTGCATCACCCTCAACAAAACCTCCTTGTCGCTGATGTATACCAAATGGTGGATCGCCGTCGACGGCGTCACAACTTATGCGTACGGACACACGCCCATGAACCACTGATTAGACCTAGATGCGTTGGGAGTTTCCAAGACCCCCAATAAAGGAAACTCCACCCGGCATGACGAGGTCTAGTCACTATTTTATACTAGGCACTGGGAGTGGAATTACGTAGAAATAAGCCTATAAGGTACCCTGTAATAGAACCCCCCATTATATAACTACTTAAAGACGCATTGTTTCAGTGTTGCTTTGTTTTAGCTTATAGCTTCTGATGCATGGGGTAACAACTATATTTCTGTAGAGTAATTATAAACCCTACTGTGATACTAAAACAGAGGTAACTATTGCGATACTATGTACCAATACTATGTACCAATATTGTGCAAGTATTGCAATAATTGAGGCATCTTTACCTTCCAAAATGCAGATGTCTTTACTTTATTGAGCATGTCAAATTCTGCCATTCCATGTTTCAACTTGTCATCAATGTTTTGCCACATAGACGAGATACTTCAACAGTTGAATGAGCCATTACGCCTGACTGATGAGTTTTGTGTGTTTGTAGTGGAGGGATGACAGAGAGGGAGTATGAAGCATTGGCGGACGATACGCTGGACTCTCTGGCAGAATACTTCGAGGATCTGGGTGACATCGCTGACTGCCACCAAGACTATGATGCCTCTTTGGCGGTGAGACGATTGTGGGAAATTTATCTTATGTTCCTACCTTGTACAGTTTATACCTGAAGAAACATGAAGACAATTTGACATATTCATATTTAGATTACCTTTTTTTGAACACAGATTGATAAGTGTTGCCTATCAGGTACCATGGTTACATTCAGCTTAAATGTAAAAAATATCTTTTTGCAGACAAAAATCTTACATGAACCAAGGTGTTATTTAACATTACAATAATACAACATTATGGATCTTTTTAGTAAAGTTCATGTTTTTTTCCCCGTAAGCAGTGAGAATTCTTGGTAAGAATATAGGCTTCAGCAACCTGTTCTTGTCAAAAGAAGCAACTAAATATATTAGTGTCATTGATCAATCAATATTTTATCTGGTCCAAACTCAGTGACTGACCAACAGCCTTCATAAAGCTGGAATATCATCAATATCATAATTTTTGTAATAAGAAAATTAAGTTCAATTCATTTGTCTAGAAATAAACAAATTAAGGGAGACAACCGAAAATGCTACAGTGTTTTTATCAGTAAAGATTTTACATGAGCTTTCTGACATGATGTATATGTCACACATGGTTCGTTCCAGAGTTATTGTAAAGGTTTCATATAAGAACTGATACAGTGGTTTCACCTATTGTGGTGACAGGTCTGTCAAGGGAGACAACATTTTAAGACCTCTTTCTTTTCTGGAGCCAATGTCTACCTACCCCATATTAGCAAGCAACTGAATATGCTAAACCCAGCATAATGTTTTATTGATGATACCAATTTTGTTCCAGAGTGGAGTGTTGACGCTGGTACTAGGTGGTGACCTGGGAACGTATGTCATCAACAAACAGACGCCAAACAAACAGCTATGGCTCTCTTCACCTGTGAGGTAATGTTTTCAGTCAAGAATAGTATTCAGTCAAGAATAGGATAACATTCTTTCCCAAATTTTCTGGCCAGTACTATGTTACTGATGCAACCAATATAGAGCTTGGAAAGATATACAATCCTCACTGACAAGGCATTTACTTACATGAATTTCCTTCCTTAATATATTAATGATTTGATTTAGCACCTTCATCTGAGCTTAAGTTTACCAGAGTTGTCGTGAATCCATCTATCTCAAACTTTACATACCCCTTAACTGGTTTTCATATTCTTGAAGAGGAAATATTTTGTAGAAATAACACTTCCCCCACATCAGTTTGCTTTCCAAAGTGATGATAGCTGGTTTTGATTATATGTGGCAGTGGCCCAAAGCGGTATGACTTCTGTGATGCACGGTGGATCTACAAGCGGGATGGAGTTACACTACACCAGCTGTTGATGATGGAGCTGCAGCCTCAATTCAAACATCAAATCAACCTTTCTCAGTGCATATACAGTGGACTAACCAAGTCGTGAACACATCCCCAAGTACCTGAGTATTACTGTGGTTCCTGCCCCTCTACATCAACACTAACACCGACCTGATGGGGACAGGTGGAATCAACATCAAGCTACCTTCTACCGTGCAGGAAAATCAAAGATGCTTGTACATGATGTCAATTTCTCCACTGATGCGTGTTTGATGATATTGTGAATTCTTGGTGATTTTGATGACCTTTGCAAGGGGTTACCTGTATGAAAGATAATTACATGCAATGGTATGAAAACGAATATGTTCACAAGATTTCAGGGTTGGTGGTTGTGTATCATTGTGGTTGTTGGATCTCATTGCCCCGAGGATGTACATTCATTGTACTGCTCTGTCGGACAGACTGTGTGAATCCCATTGCATTCCTTCCTGTTAGTTTTCCAACTGTTGTCTCCTTCACTGTCCTCATATTCATCAGCATAATGTTGTTGAGATATGTATTTTGAAATATTTTGGTTGTATTAGTAGGTGGGAGATGTTTTGTTATTTTCCTCTGTTATGCCACACACTGCATCAGCTGGCTTGTAAGGCTGTGCTATACAGCGTGACCTACTGGCTCATATGTACATGTGGCTGATGCAGCCACTGATTTGTTTCTGTGCAGACAGGTTATATACATGATGTTGGAGTGCTACGTATTTGATGACACTTAGCAGAATTGAGAAGACGTTGAGTAGTCATATATATATCCGAATTTAAGAGAGCATTATTCATTTTGAGAATAACTGTTATCTTCAGATACTATGCAGATGTTGTGCTAACCATCTGATGGAGCAATACTTACACACATCAACAGGTTGTTAGTACTGTATAGATTTGACCCATCCCAAACTGGAGCAGGGGATACAGCTTTGTACCCTTCAGCTAGACTTCTGTAGGCACAACATTTCACGATATGGATGTTAGTATGGTCATATGTATGTCTCAGTAAGGCAGAATGTGTTGAGAAATTTGAACATCATCTTTGAACGTGTACATATATGCAGAGTGGTGGCCCTTGTTTGATGGTTTGGCGGACATTTTGCATTCATCATTCTACTTGTCTTGATTGATTCTTGTATCAGGAATAAATATTTTACAGAGTTATGGCCCTTGAGTAATGGTTATATTCATGTGTAATTTTGTATAGGTGATGTAGACCCTGTCAGAGTTTCTCAGAAACCACTTTGGATATGAGGATGAAACGTTACATAGAAAAGATATAAATGTGTTGATTTTGAAAACATTCATGTTTCACAAAGTTATAGCCCTTGTTTTGTGTTTTGAACAATTAGTATTACCCATTCCTCAAAACTACTACATTTTCTTAAATGAAATTTAGTATGCACATCAGGCAAATGCAGAACTTTTGCTTTTTATAGGAATTCCGGCCGTCCAGCCAGCTATCTGAAGAGATTTTTGTTCCACCAATAACTTGAAAACTATTTGCGGGCCAGCTTCTTTGTCTACAGGAGAGATGCCATGCAAATTTTAATTATATTTTAATGCGTGCAAGAATTACAGCATTTTAAAAATTTGAACTTAAAAAGTATCAGCCAAAATGTTTTCAAATTTGGAGAACATCTTTGTATAAAGGAGAGGACCACATCAAATTTGTTCATTAAATAACTTTACCATTTTGAATGGATTGTTTTCGTATTTGGGTAATGGCTTCTTTGTTGTATTTTTCATTATTTTTGTCAAAAATAGTCATTTTCAGTTGTGTTTCAACTAAAGTTGGGAGTCAGTCAGGGGTATTGGTGAGCCTTGCTCACAATTTTTGTCCTGTTATATTCTGATCTGAATTATATAAACATATCTTTTGCTTTTGCAGGGCATCTATTTAAATTGGTGCCAAACATTTAATTATTTTTCAATGAAATTTTATAAATGTATTAGGCTAATTAGTATTGGTGGCTAGTATTTTCGCAGAAATCAGACTTCTGTATTTACTATTGTGAGTAGGTATGGATGATGGGGACATGGATGGCTCCATCTTCGTCATGTAAAATGCCTGTGTACTAACTTCATTTTCTCTGCCAGCAGATGCAGTGCACAACAATTTACAGATGAATATCATTTAATCTAAGGGCTCGATTCATGTGTGTGTAGTAATCAGATCACCCGTCATCCCAGGCAATGTTTAACTGTATAAGGACTGTATGATGTACAGTATTCACATATCAGAGATTTTACACCAATATTGGCACCCGGAATGGGCTCCACACTTTGTGTCCATTTAGGTTTGGTTGGTTGGTGGGTTTGTTATTTAACTCTACAATATTCCTGCTACATGTATATGGAAGCAGTCTGTAAATAATGCGGTCTGGATCAGAAAATCCAGTGATCAACATCATGAGCATTGTTCCATGCACAGGGGCGTGTCACGCTTAGAAACAGCGTTAGAAAGACATATAGATATATAGACCCTACTATATAAAAGGATCCTTTTATATAGTACTAGGGTAGGGTCTATATACCTATATGTCTTTCTAACGCTGTTTCTAAGAGTGACACGCCCCTGTGGTTCCATGCAACTGTGAATCCATGTACGTAATGGAACCTGCGCCTTCAGTCAGACTTGGTGATGAAGAGAGCTGGTGATGGCACTGAAAGTGCATTAAAGCAGCAAAACGATTCAGTTGTACAAGCAGCATTCATTGATCCCACTGATAATACCAATCTGCAGTCACAGCAAGGGATCTGTTTTATGTGTGAGAAAAGTTGTCTCCCTTAGATCGTTAGTCAGTAAATGGTCGGATTGTAACATCATCGTTTTATGAGTTAAATCACTGATCATCCTCAATAAAATAACTAAAGGTGTCTTTGTAAATAGTTTATTTTTTATGCTTAAATATTTGTTATAAAACATAAAAATGTATAATATAGTGATAAATGGGTAAACAATAAATACATAAATAGCATTATGACAAAATAATGGAAATGCATACAAGATTGTCCTTTCATAATAATTAAACGATGGAAGCTTAGTTTGCTTGTTATCGTTTGTCGTGGATGGAACGTGTTCAGTATACAACTGCGGACCATTACACAGATCCACATTGAAAATAGCACCATACAAATCATATCACAGCTTCTCAAGGGATGACTCCTTCAACCGGGGATTATTTCAAGGATACATGTTGACAAAAATACGATAATCGGGAGAAAATACATTGTCAGTTGGGATAAACACAAACGAGATATGTGGCACAAATCTTGGCAACAGTATCGTAACATCAGTCAATATTTTGTCTCTCGACACGTGTAGATTTATCGATTATTAGGCTCCCATTCCATGGTAACCACGCTTGATCGCATCATTCTTGGGCAGGGACGTCGTCTTACTGGCTGTCCACCAGGGGGAGTTCAAAACCTTTATCTTTCCCGTGATCTGCAAAATATAGACAGAAGTATAAATATGATTGCAATAACATGTAGGTAATGTGGAAAGTTTTGTAAATATGATAATGTATGTTGCCGGTTATGTGGGCCATAATGTAAATATGATAATGGAATACTGCAGGTAATATGGATGGAGACATTACCACAGATAACACTGATGCTGGTGATAAGTTAATCGTGGGCGGTTTACTAATCACTTCTCAGGGTTCAAATATGTGAATATTTTCGCTAAGATTTGTGGTAGGCTAATCCGGTAAAAGTCTCACCTCCACACAGACTCTCGATGATCTCGCTCCTGGACTTGGTGAGATGCCTTGCATTGTGGATATAGATCACGTGATCGTGCGATGGCTCAGAAGCGATTGAATCAACGAGTTTGGAGTTGACCTCGCCCAGAGCGACTACAAACACCTCTATCCCCTTGTGTTTCGCGTATCTTGTCTGACTCAGCAGATCTTGCGTGTTCTCAAGGCTAGTCTCGTCGACATAGAGGATCATGATCTGGCGACGCGACTCCTTGCTCGAGAACCACTTCCGGCGAGCGTCTTTGATAAGGTTTGCAATCTTGGTTTTGATGGTGTCTTCAATGTGTTGCGTCTCTCTGACGAAGGACGCGGAGTCCCTGACAGTGATGTCGAGGTTGGAGGGACATGCCTCGGAGATCATCCCCACGGACAGGTTCTTTACTCTGCGTCTGAGGCTGGAGGTGATGCTACTGGCCTCCGATGATATCACACGGGTTGATTTCAGCCCCATGGAGAAAGAATCGTAGACAAACACCAGTTCAGCGTCGTCCAGGCCACAGGCTAGTGGGAGAAATAATTGAATTTCCTTTATATTTGGTAAGATGTTGGAATAACATCCCCGAGGCTACTTTCATTAACGAATGGATTATTTTTCATAATACCCTTTTAAAGCACTATTTCAAAACATACCAATATCTACTGTATTCTTTAAGAGAAACGAGTGTACGTACCTGCTTGTTCACTAAAGAAGCCCTCAGGCTGTTTAACTTCACAGGTTCTGATGGCCAAGAGGTTTCTTATTTCTGACAGAGCGGCGAAGTCGCTAACGGTGAAGGTGAACTGAATGTCAGGATTGTTGGCGATGTCGCTCAGTTCCTGCTTGTCAACCGACTCTCCCACGCCGATAGCAAACACGTAGATTCCTGCTCTGTGTGCAGCTTCGGCGGCCGCGGTAGTAGCTTCAGTGTCCTTCGACTGACCGTCAGTAATAACAATAGCAACATGGGCAACACCGGGTCTGGCAACTTTGGGAGAGAAGCCCTGTTCCACAACAAAACGGAGAGCATCGCCTGTATTGGTGCCCTGGGCCTTGTGTGGAATGTTCTCGGGTGAAATGGCATTGAGAAGCTCGTTGCGTGATGTGTAGGCGCTCAGCGGGAAGATCTGGGTGACGTCATCGCTGAACGTGACGATGCCGACGCGGGTTTGAGAATCTCCGGAACCGATGTCAAAGAGTCCAGTAACGTTGCGGACAAAGTCGAGCATGGTGTGGCTGAAGTCGTCCTTCTCGATGCTGCCAGAAGAATCCAGGATAAAGTAGACATCGGCTGGCTTGCCGCCACACGCTATAAAAATTAAGAAACAAATGTCAGAAAGAAATATTTTCACTTGCAGGACACAAAGCTTCTCCCTTACTAAGACTCTTCCCTTACTTACAAATATAGTGCCATCGATATCGTCTTGGGTAAATCAGCGAACTAAACTTTCTTTATAAGGTGCCAATACTCAACTATGCCACAATGTTGGCCTAATGTTGGGCTCTGGGCCTCGCAAACAAATGATTTACAGTGTTTGGAACGATCCTGGAAATGACACGTGTTTAAATTAGAGTCTTCACGTGAGAACGGGTATAACGTGATAAAACCAGGGGAAGTAAACATAAGCACTCTTACCTTCGTTTCTGATTTCTTCGTCACTACGGAATCCAGTATTTTCGGGTTCTGAAACCAATTGAACTTATTTAATGTTTTTGTGTTTTAAAGAGGATAATTCACAGTCTCTTTGCAGTTGCAGGTTATAAGCATAGTGGCACAGTGCCAGTCTTCATGTGTTAAATCATGTCACTTGTGATATCGTATTACCTGATGTAGGTTCTGGGGTAGCTTCTTCCACGACCGAGGCTGGTGTTGCTCTAGTTGTGGGCTCTGGTGTTGATGCTGTAGTGGTCGTAGGCTCAGACACAGATGTTACTGATGTCGTTCTTGTCGAGATGGACGTTGTTGTAGAAGATGTCGTCGGGGAGGTCGAAAGTGGAGTTGTGGATGGGGCATTGGTAACACGAAGTGTTGACACTGAAACAGGCATGAAATATTATACGGTGATGGCACAGAGTCATTAATATATTCAAAATCGCCCGGCAAGATATTCTATGAATACATACTTTCTTGTAATTAGTACTAACTATACAATCTATTTATTTCAAATCGTGCTGTTATTATTATTCAGATGTCAAGGAGACGGAGTAGAATAATTACCGTCACATGTTACTATATCTCTATTGAGCCCACAAGCTGTTATGTACATATACTCTTCTGTACGCTTGAATTCAACGTATTGGGAACACACAAACACACACAAAATTTATACAAATTACCTTCACATGTTTTCACAGCCAATTTCCCCTCGATTCTCTTTAGCGCCTCGAAATTGGTCACATTGAACTTGAAGTCTTCATCAGGGTCGCTAGCAATGTCTTCCAGTTCCTTATTGTCTATCTGAGACCCTACCCCAATAGCAAACACCTGGACGCCCTTCTCGTGGGCGTTTTGGGCAGCTGCCCGAGTCGCCTCATAATCCTGAGAAGCGCCATCAGTGAGGATGACAATGATGTGAGCTGTGTTGTTTCGACTCCCGTGGTCGGCTCTGAACATCTCCTCTGTAGCGAACATCAGGGCATCACTAGTGTTAGTGTTGCCGCCATCCATGGAAATGTCAAGAATTTTATTGGTTAGTTTCTCCTTGTCCAGAAAGTCCCCTAGATTAAACTGGAGGTGATGGACATCGCTGAAGGTGGCCATGCCAACACGGGTCTGGGAAGGGCCTGGGCCAACATCGAAGAGGTCTACAACGCCGGTGATGAAGGGTAGGACGTGGAGGTTGAAGTGGACAGGCCAGATACTTGACGAGGTGTCCACAAGAAATACGACATCAGCTGGCTTGCCGTTACATCCGAACCCTGTTGGTAAAGAATTACTTATTGACAAAGAGAGCGAATTATTTTCTGTGGAACTACTTTATATAGAACATTTATACTATCAAAACGGCTACCAAGCAGCATGTACCCTATAAGTGTGTATACATTGAACAGTCGGATCTCTGTAGAAGTAGGCATTGGCTGGAACGTATTCATTATTATTTATCGTTCTTATTACTTTTACATGATGTTTCATAGAAATAATATTGTTTTTATCGTGCGCAAGTGAAATTAAACATTGATCATAATTACTTGCAGTAATTGTGTATTGAGATAATAAAAGATTCAAAACTACAAAGTCGTGTTAAGTAAGTCTGTGGTAACAGTAAGGACCCCACCTGGAGTTGGCAATGCGAAGGCCGCAGCTACGGTAATCTGAAATTGTACAATAATGTTTTCATTGTAAGGACAATCGTAAATTTACGAACACCAACAATAGTATACATGCAAATATAAGTTAAAATTAACAGACACCAACAGAAGCTGTACATGTATAAATAAGTTAAAATTAGCCAAGAGCTAAAATGTGCATATCCGCCATGGCTTCTTATAAACATGAGTTGTGTTACTCAAAGTGTAAGTCTGATATAGCCCCATGTGGTATACTCACTGTTAGGACATGCAGAGTATACAGGAGCTCCATGTTGCGAAGCGGTCGTGGTCGGAAAAGACGTTGTAGTTGGTTTCTCTGAAACCTTGTGCTGGCTCCAATCTCTCACCGTGGGAAAGTGATGAAGATGACCAATCTCTTCCCTTTTTATACGCTGATCCTATTGAATCATGCCGGGTTGCACCCATTACGTGGGTACTCAATAATTCCATTGTAGTCTGATTCCCATTAAATTGTGTAAATATAGAACAAACGTTCCCTACGTAAAGTTTAAGGTCATGATGTCCATATATGGCTCTCATTAGCATATTTTATGTAGGAGCATCCAATGAACGTCATCTGTTTGTCAACTGTCGGAAGGGTAGGATCCTAATATGGGAGAGGGAGTTCAGAGGTCGAGCTGGGGAAATAATGCTTCACCTCCATGGAAATGCTTGTGAGGCACGTCCTTCCGGGCTTGTCGTTAACCTTACAAATATAGTTAATCCGTTGACAAACCTCTCCGTTGTGTTGCCGCACTCTTAACTATGTTTCCCGCCATGTTATAACATGCATTACAATCAGCTGTTGGGGGGCATCTCAAAGGGTACATCGTTTTCAAAACGATAAACTAGAATTGATGAAATCCAGGCAAGGTAGTTCAGGTCAAAACTACATTTACTAACTGTAAAACTGTAAAACTGTAATACACTTACTGAATATTGTTTTCCACACTTAATGCTACCACTTTGCTGGGGTGCTGCGCCCCATGAAGAATATGGGAATGTCCATGTTCCCATATAGATCTCCCCCGGATTGGAATTGGCAGTTTTCACACCGAAATTACAAGAAGCTTGTGTGGTGTTGCTGAAAAATAGACTTTTGTACATAGCGTCTGTTGCACTCGGCTAGCACTAGTCGGAATGTATGACATAGGTGTGTAAATAATCACGTCCAGTGGTTGATATCAGGAGCATCGATCTATGCAGTTGGAACACAGTGACATCCGCCTATAGGCGTGCAGATATATAGGAGAGTACATTTCTGAATCATTATTAACAGACGATAAATCTATGCTTAGTGACGATAAATCTATGTATTATACACACAATCTATGTATTATACACACGATCTATGTATTATACACACAATCTATGTATTATACACACGATCTATGTATTGTACACACAATCTATGTATTATGCACACGATCTATGTATTGTACACACAATCTATGTATTTTCACACGATCTATGTATTATACACACAATCTATGTATTATACACACAATCTATGTATTATACACACAATCTATGTATTATACACACAATCTATGTATTATACACACAATCTATGTATTATACACACAATCTATGTATTATACACACAATCTATGTATTATACACACAATCTATGTATTATACACACAATCTATGTATTATACACACGATCTATGTATTATACACACAATCTATGTATTATACACACGATCTATGTATTATACACACAATCTATGTATTATACACACGATCTATGTATTATACACACAATCTATGTATTATACACACGATCTATGTATTATACACACACGATCTATGTATTATACACACGATCTATGTATTATACACACAATCTATGTATTATACACACAATCTATGTATTATACAATCATGTATTATCTATGTATTATACACACAATCTATGTATTATACACACAATCTATGTATTATACACAATGATCTATGTATCTATATTATACACAATCTATGTATTATATACAACACGATCTATGCATTCATACACACAATCTATGTATTATACACGATCTATGTATACACACAATCTATGTATTATACACACAATCTATGTATTATACACACAATCTATGTATTATACACACAATCTATGTATTATACACACGATCTATGTATTATACACACAATCTATGTATTATACACACAATCTATGTATTATACACACAATCTATGTATTATACACACAATCTATGTATTCTACACACAATCTATGTATTATACACACGATCTATGTATTATACACACAATCTATGTATTATACACACAATCTATGTATTATACACACAATCTATGTATTATACACACAATCTATGTATTATACATTACAATCTATGTATTATACACGATCTATGTATTACGATCTATACACACGATCTATGTATTATACACACGATCTATGTATTATACACACGATCTATGTATTATACACACGATCTATGTATTATACACACGATCTATGTATTATATTATACACACGATCTATGTATTATACACACGATCTAATCTATGTATTATACACATCTATGTACACACAATCTATGTATTATACACACAATCTATGTATTATACACGATCTATGTATTATACACACGATCTATGTATTATACACACGATCTATGTATTATACATTATACACATGTATTATACACACGATCTATGTATTATACACACGATCTATGTATTATACACACGATCTATGTATTATACACATCTATGTATTATACACACGATCTATGTATTATACACGACAATCTATGTATTATACACTCAATCTATGTATTATACACACGATCTATGTATTATACACACGATCTATGTATTATACACACGATCTATGTATTATACACACAATCTATGTATTATACACACGATCTATGTATTATACACACAATCTATGTATTATACACACGACTTCTTCTTCTTCTTAGATCTGGCCCAGACATACACAAGATGCTGGAGTTATTACCTTAAGTATAACAGGGAGAGGGGGGAATTCGAGACCGTTCCCTAACTACAGGCGAAGTACGAAGACAGCTACCCCACTCACCAACTGAGCACTCTGACTGGAGTATGTCAGAGTAGATATGATCGAGTAAACATCGTCGTAGGCTGGAGTAAACGTCGTCGTAGGCTGATGGAACAAGTCCATGTCCCTAAAACACACTGATACTTGAAAGATGTCCCTAAATACAGACGTGCGTGAATGAGTGAGTGAACGATAATATACAGCCAGTAATCCTCTATCACAAACGCAGACATTCACGTCAGCCTTTAAAACGTCTGACTTTAAAGTTATCGGCTTTCATCCTGTTATCAAAATTTCTGATAAAGATGACTTACAGTTAGCTGTCAAATATTCTGATAGACAATCTGACAGATATGGTGACTGAACTTAAGAAAGTCAAGTTCTACAAGATACATATGATATCATTGATTCTGTGGTGTATTTTTTATGTTATAGATATTCCAGTCTGTTCAGGTAAGTGAATAAAATACGCTCATTTAAAATTCATGTTGCCTTCATCGAGCAGATAAAACAAATGTTTCGTTGTTATTTTGAGATGGTCCCCATGACGTACAGCCTGATTCATGTAGTGCGGGCAATACTGACATGTCTACACATTTTAAAATGTCTGCGGCATGCATTAAATATTTCCGTTTTACAGTGAACTGATTTTCTTTGAATTTGAAAGGGCGGAGTGATTCACAATTTCATATCAACATCCACTCCTCCTTGAAAATTATATGCTCTGGATAATTGTTTAGTTTCAGAAATGAAACAGTTTCTGATTATTTATTCATCCCGGGATATTAGGCTTTAGGTTTATTTTCTCTCGTTTAAATCCTGGTCGTATTTGAGCGCATGGACACATGCTCAATACATGCAAACACGTGTTGCCAATACACGCAGCCACCTCAACAACAGGCAGTGACCACTAGATTCTCAAAACCAGAAATCATTCTTACTCTCCTACCTATCGCAATATAACTTATTCATTGCTGTATCTCAATCGTTACGTATTATATTGGTTAATAATTTGTGTGTCAACATGCATGATAATAGTAATAGTATGTAATATGTTGTATCCCGAAAGTCTAATCCATCGGGACTTTGTCTAGTTTTACCTATGTTATTATCATGATTATGTACACTGTAAATCCAGTCTATAAAATAATGTATTCTCCTCTTCCACATTTTACTCCTTATCCCTCTTCTCCTCAATCTTCTTAGACTCTTTTTATTCTTCTCCTCCCCACCCCCTCAACCTTCTGCTCCCCATTCTACCTTCCTTTTTTTCACCCCTTCTTATTTTCTCTCCTCCTTCTCTTCTTTCCATCTTCTCAGAAGAACGTGAAACTGACAAACGTTCTTCATCATAGCTATCCACGTGTTCAGTCAAGTATATTCTCATAAATCACATCATGTGATACCGAGCGAGAACATAATGCATATATACACATGTACACATCTATAGATACAGTGTGAGTGCGCCTGCAGTTATAATGTTAAATATACTGAGAACGTACCATACTGGTATATACATAACACGTGTGAGCAAGTCCAGGTTTACAACTACAACTGTATATATTAGTAACATTACTCAAACCTTTTTTTGGAGGCAGTGACATACATTTATAGGTATATAATGACAGGCTATATTGTATAGACATAAGTGATGTGTATTTATTGACTGAGGGGTATTCGCTATAAGGTAGAGAAATATAAAATGTACATATACTCTATTTTCTTTACTCACATTGTACCATCGACCAGATTCTGTACGGGGGATGCTGATTACATAATCTGTATTGACTTAAGCTTAGACTAATGTGTACACTCAGGCAGTGAGTGATAATAGCATTGGTTCAATTACATGTACAGGAACTGCTTACACATAGAAAAATAGAAACCTTTCCACGAGGTCATCTCTCGTCTCCTCATAATATCGGTCTATCAAAACTGTTCTAACTTTATGATGTAGCCAGTGGATACAAGTAAACGATAGTGATAGACATGCATGATTTAACGCAAGGTCTCGCAGTTTATCATTAACAGAAGTAATAGGCGGGATATCACAAGTACTGCTGCATTGATAGAACGTATATACATAAGTCGGAATTCTACATTCACCAACTTAGTTGGTGAAAGTAACGTTTACTCCAATGTTAAATCATTCTTTTTTTATGATAGTTTCTAGTGGGTATATCTTCAAAGTTCGCCGTAAAGTTTTGAGTTGATTGCTTAACTTTAAGTACACGTTTGCAATATTTTAAGTGAATGCTTTCATTCAGAGCTGACTTTTAAAGCCGCACACTTCAGAAACGTATGATATTGGTTCAACGATGTCGTCAAACAAGTGTAACTGACTGTGAACGGACATCTCCGATTGTCGTATGTTTGTAAAAACAATAAACATAGATCCGGAGGCTTGCTCGCTTTAAAAACGCTTTTGATCCGGACATGTTGAATATGTGCCCCATGTTAGAGCGCGTGACAATATCCAGTTTTATATCCTGTCATATGTTTCACTTTGCTGGCTTTAAAGATCATAAGTGGAGTATTTCGCTGCACTTTACGTCAATAGAAATGAGTGTATGCGTCTCGTTGCTGTAATTGAAGCTCGTTCTCTTTGATCGCATTTTTATCGAAATATTTCAAATCCGTTAACACCTACAATTGAGCAATTCGCTAATATCCTGAAATCACAATGAAAACATGTAGAGTAATCCAGCTGCGCAATTGTAATGCCTGTATATCAGTATAATATGCCGGATTCCGGAACCTGGATCCCTCTGTTCAAGTTTCATATTTTAACAGTAACCCTTTATATACCGAATCTGCCTCCTGTCAACGCAGAATACTCACTCATTCGTGATAATGAATCCTTTGAGCGAAAACGTTACTGTATGAGACGCGTGTGCGTTAAATATGTTCTAAGTTTCTGACAGAACATTGACTCATGCACACACATCTGGTTAACAAAAGGTTACACGAGTATCTATCACAGGCCTCGCATTGACGATTGAAAGTGAGGCGGCTAAGGTCCAGTTGCGGCGTCCAGACCATTGGGCTACCCGCAATTTTAGATTGCTGGTTGCAAACAAATTTCGCTTCTTTTCAGGATTCCACATGGAATCAAATATTTCCCAGGCAGTGGTTTGAAAAATATCAGAGGTTATATAATGGCTATGAATTCGAAGATACATCAGACCGCTGTAACGGGTGTAAACACACATCGTAACGTGAAGGTCCGGGTTACAATTGATATTCAGCAACACATGCTTGTCGTAGGAGGCGACTAACGGGATCAGGTGGCCAGGCTCGCTGACTTGGTTGCCACATGTCATCGTATTCCACTTGCGTAGATCGATGCTCATGCTGTTGATCACTGGATTGTCAGGTCCAGATTCGATTATTTACAGACCACCGCCATATAGCAGGAATATTGCCGAGTGCGGCGTAAAACAACAATCAATCGATCGTAACACGTACATTGAGACATATCACTCAGAATCACTTCCAATATTGCCAGCCCGGATTAAATGCATCACAGTCTGTCTCTTCTTTTGGGACGGAAAACAAAAACTAAATCGATCTTGCAAGTTTCTCAATGTAATGATACAAGAGAATATCAATATTAGCTTGTCCGTTATATTTTGGTGTACATAAGGTTCAGAACGTCTATTGTTACTGTTAAGAGCTAACAGCGTTGTAGGTATAAGAAATATATGCACATCTTCTATGTTCCTATGTATTTGGCAATACCCATGCAGTCTTGATACTGCGTCGAACTGATGGTATGTATAGGTTAATCCCCCTCACAGGGTAGTTATTTAAATAAACTCTGAGAGGGCTTTAGCCCGAGTCTGCTTTCCCCTTGATACAGTCTTATAGTGCCATCCAGAATGTCGTATACAATGCTGGATTAGTGCATTCTTTTCTGGTTCTGGAGGAATCCACATTACTTTTGACTCCATACTCATCTGAATTTAAACCACTAGGGAAAGGTATGTCCATTGTTCTTGGAAGTGTTTTATTAGCATAACTGAATAACTGCCCTAGGAAATTATTTCTATATAAAAAACAATAAAATTCTACTCATTTTGGTAATCTGCATCACGCCTAACACAGTACACGCGTATTAAATAAGCATGTCCTAGTGGTTTAAGCCGTTTAATCACCCTCACTGCGGTAGTTATTTAAATAAACTCAGCTCGGGCTAAAGCCCATCGCCCAGTTTATTTAAATAACTACCTTGTAAGGGTGATTAACCTATACATCATAACAACCACACCACTGTATACAATAAATAACACATTCACGAAAAGTAATTCATTTTAAAACACGGTGTTATGTACGGTGTTATGCAAACACAATTTAAACACAATTACAGCATTGTTTAGCTATAAATTACACCGCCCTATAAGAACCCACTCGATGTGTTAAGGTTAACGGGCTGTGTTACTCTCAACCTACGTAGCGGTAGTCCGCGTGTCAAGGATGTCCGGAGAGTGGACTCGTCGCTGTATCTCATAAATGGGGATGTGAATCGTGTTCAGTAACAGAAATAATTTGCCCAGCGTATCAAGATAAATATCTTCATATTGATCTTGTACCTAACTTACTACTTAAAATTCCACTGTCCATGTGGAAATGTTACGCTTCCCTTTAGCTTCGACACATGGGATTTCCCACTGCGAATAGACTCTTATCAAGAATTTGAAAATATGAATATTACCTCCCCATTATATTACATTCACCACACAAATCGCTTTGCCGGGTTAATGTATGAGCGGTTCACGGCATCTGTGGGATGTAGGTTAATATCACGGGAAATAACAGTTTTTACTTTTTTTATGACAACAGACACCACACGTGACATATTTTTCATTGAGGTCCATTCTTTGGGGTTCTGTAGGACACTATGAGCCTTTTTTCTGTAAAATATGTTCATTTCAGAGACTAGTTGTTAGTCTAGTGGTAGATATCTCCTACATGTTATTTCAGCGTTCTTCTCTTTGTTGTCCATAACACATTGGTGCACAGCAGGTGGTGAAAATATTTATAGTAATTTAATTCAAGTTCTTCAAAAGTCTGTTTGGATGAAGAAAGACTGAGCTCAGCGCCTGTAACTGTGAACTGCCGTCTTATGTTGTCTGAATAGTCTCTCATAAAGAAGCTCTCTTACTGTTAAAGGTCAATTCAAAGGCTAATGAAACACTGTTGTTCCGAACATACGGTGAATGGCGTACAGCTCATTCCACAAACTGGGATACAGTAGAAAGTTCCACCCGTAAATGTTGAAACCATATACAAATGTATGTTAGTATAAATGTAAGTTTTAATGATACAGTTAGTAGAAAGTATTATAATATGCTTCCCTGACTAAACAAATTAATTGTTCAACGTAATGTTTCTGAGGCATATTTTGATAACAAACATAAACAAAGAGGATTGTATGAAAGAGTTGTGAAATGACAAGTGGGCCATTTTCGAAACACAGGTAAACAGTTATTACGTTTGATGTTTTTCTCATTGTAACTACATTATTTAAACCAGCCAACAGTATCTCTTGGTACAATGAGAATAAGCAGCTATACAGGGATGCTCCATCCGTTCGGGTATGCTCAGATTACCTAACCGTGCATATTCAGATATAAGCTGACGTCATGACAGGACGTAATGTCTCCCGTGCATTATATGGTATATATTAGTCATTCATGACATGCGAGTTATCGACACAGCACGCGTATAATACTATTGTTGTTTCCCAGAACAGATCGATACAATACATAATTCTCAAGAACGGACTTTTAAAACATCAGATGCTGATATATGTGGCGTTCTTTGTACTATTTCCTGGAAGTCGCTTCAGAATTCGTGTAAATTCTAATTACTAGTATTCAATTCTTTATTGCATGAAATGCCATAGGCTTGTCACTAGAAAAAAACAAACAAACATTCCGAATAACGTTTAGTCAACTCAGTAGGCCTACAACACATAGGCCCTACACTCGATCATGTAAGACTGTAGTTCATAATAGTCCCTCCGCCTCAAGTTACGTATACGTCATTCAGCAACCTCGATTCACACCGTAGTATGAATCTGAAGCAAACCCCTCCGTATTAACATTTGAAGCTAAAAGTTCGTATTTTCATCTCTGTAAAAGAAGCCGATTTGTCAGGAGATCCAGCTTGTTCATCGGGCAGTTTATTTAGTGGATAAAACCTTGTGACAAATTCGTTCTATTTCAGTCTCCCTTTTCTCCCCTAGAACATATCATTTTCTTCCACATATATACCAGCATTTGTTTAGAGCTGTCTCGATACATTGTTCATTTTTTGTTGACAGCGTTCTGAAATAGTAAGCTGGGTCCCGTCTCGCATATCGCGCAAGGTGGCGCGCGCAAAGGGAGCCGGGAACCAGCTTACGAGGGTTGAGCCTCCTTATGCTCGATTAGTAACGACTTCTGACAATTTTGAGGCATCAAAACCCGAATATTTCCCAATCTACCACGTGATTAAAAGCCTATTTCAGCTTTATTAGCTTTCAGTACTTCTAAAATTGTGATTTTAAAAATATTTTACTCTTTGAATAGTGTTTCAAGAAAACGTTGGGGAAGTGAGAATTATTTTTAGTGGTTATCAACAGGTTGGTTAACTTGCTCTTCACAGCGATAGCACATACGCTTCCGAGTGTGTTCCGAGTTTGTCACACGCTGTGTTGGAGTTTGTTGACGTTCAAGGGAGATAATTTCAAATAACACCTTCCGGTTCTTTCTGTTCGACCTTGTAACAACGGTCGTAGTCATGCCGGGCGTTGAAATGTTCACGAGGTTTTTAGGCCCTAGATACTTTCAGATGGCCAAAAATTGGTTGGTATAAATGATACGTTGTTTTACTTCACAAGTTACGTATATTATCATTCAAATCATTCACATTTGACCAAGAAGAAGAATGTCACGATCGACCTTCACTTTCGAGATTGCATTCGATGTTACCAAGAAACAGAAGCTAACTGAATTCGACGTCCTTCGTTTGGTTCTCAATCTTTATTCTTCATAAGTATATATCTCGGCCCTGTATCTCACACACGTGGTCTTAAAGAGACCCTTTGGCTGGTTGGAAAGAGTTCCTTCCGTTCCCCCACGGCCAACCCTAAACCTAACTTAAATTTTGGACATTTAGTCATTTTGTCATTTTGTGAGTTCTCTAGTAATTGTTGTGTTAAGTTTTGTTAATAATTTTAGTATATTTATAAATATTATTTGGAATGGGGGAACGTAAGGAACTCTTACCAGCAAGATAGAAAAAATATATAATTCAAAGAGTGTATTATAAGATTTAGCATGTAGGAAGGCGTTTCCTATTCTCACGGTACTTACGGATATCGGCTGAAAAATAACACAAATAATTCTTATCGTATTCATGCTTGTTGTTTTTAAATGAAGGGCCATCTCCTCTAACATCTGGGGTGGTGGGGTAGCCTAATGGTTAAAGCGTTGGCTCGTCACACTGAAGACCCGGGTTCGAATCCCCACATGGGCACAATGTGTGAAGCCCATTTCTGGTGTCCCCCACCGTGATGTTGCTGGAATATTGCTAAAAGCGGCGTAAAACCAAACTCAGTCAGTCCTCTAACATCTACATCTGCCAGATCCATCAGGTGAATTACCACTCGTGAGCCTGGTGATAAACAATGCCATCCGCCATTGACGAAACGAGGCTTCTCCCATTCTCGCGGTATTACCAGGAATTAACGTTATTGAGTGTATGTAAGAGCAATCCTGTCGGAAAAGGCGGGAAAAAGTAATGATATGTCCAAGTTTGTATAAACTCCCCAATTTTCGTGACACTGCAAGATTTTGATCACTCACAGACTTGGGCCACTTCCTAGTTTCAAGTCGGTGATGTAAACAACCACTAAGTGTCGCGCATCGGCGATTTCGACAGAAAACGTGTTTACCGCAAGAATAGGAGACGGACCTATATGTGGTAGACTGATATTTTGAAAGTGATAAATGTGGAATATATTATGGGTTTGAATGTATGATTTGCCAAGGTTTGTTTGTTAAATTTTGGTTTGTCATCAACATAATAGTGCAAGTTTGTTTCAGTAGACATCAGTTGACATCCAAAACCTACATGAACATTGGCGTTCCTTCCACATGAGGATGACATGCTTGACTATGAAAGAGAGACGTACCATTCTTAACAGAGTGAAACCAACCATCTATGACCATGATAACAAAGATATATTTATATGTTATGTTTAGTATTGCGGCCATGATAATCAGATTAAACTGTGGGTTTTCATTCATGTTGATGATAATCCTGTTTTCATGGCTACAGGACCCCTACTTTAGGAGCCTTTGGTGCAACAGCGGCCATTACAGGACTCTATATCTCTGACTGGAAGGCTGTTCTCAAGTATGTCCCTTACTACGGTGACAAGTACCCGAAAGAGCCACCACAGTGAACATGCAAATTAGTGAATATGTGTGAGTGATGTCAATTTGTCATTGTAAACAGTTGAGACTTTGCATTTAGTTATTTTTGCAATAGTTTTTTACATGTATATTATTATCTGTCACATATACTGTGTGCACTGTACTCTTGATTTTCTAAACAGTTTAGGATCCTTCAACCCTTTCTGGGTCTGAATAGGTTGCCAGTACCAAAGTGGGTTTTTTTTAAGAGTCATCTTAGTTGGCACTTAGGTCTTCCTATTAACAGCTGGTTTGCCTCCCCTATGCTAAATTGTTTACAGGCCAGAATATGGCTGGAATGCTACTGATTGAAGTGTAAACAAACCCTCAACTGCTCAGGGTTTCAAACATATCAATCCAGTTGCCTCTCTTTGGTCTTTTACCATGTTAACAGTTGGGTTACTTATGCTTATGGGTAAATATCAACAACCAAGAAAAGAATTCAGAATTCATATAATGAATAACAACATATTGTGTTTTATAAGGCTGAAACGATTCACTCGCATATTCGGTGAATCGAACCGTAGCCCTTCATGAATTCAATTCGTTATTCGTGGTCACCAGAACTGAATATTAACGAATATTATGATTTTTTTAAGGGAGCATGTTTTACTTGAACCCTTGTGTACCAAATTTGAGTGTCAATGTCATGAGATCACTGGTTATTGCTGTGACAAATTAACACTGTCAACATGGGCGTTCAATATTGTACATCAATCACTTAACTACAATATTGTATTTGTGAATAATTATTCGTATTCATTATCCAATATTCATGATACGTATCATATTCGCCACATAGTGTATTCATTGCAGCCCTAGTGTTTTACGAACACAATGTTTCTCTTTGATTCACACACAAGTATGTATTACAGGAGGTTGTCAGTAATATTCATTGTTATTTGACACGTGTATGTTCTGTATGCCTTTAAAGACTCTTGGCTGATTATCAACAATTAGAAACTGTTGTTTGACTGTGACTGCTGTACAGGTACTGACTATTTCATGTACAATCGAACATTGTCATGTCAAACCTTGTTGTGTCGAATTCCTGGTTGTCGAACTCCCTTTCTAGTCCCTGTGAATTCCTTTTATACTTGGATCTGCCATCTGATTTCCCAGTTGTCTCGAATTCATTTATGAGTCCCAAATATCCAAATTAAGTATAACTGTTCAAAATATATAATAATCTCCACACAGCCTACAAACTTTCAAAGACTCTTGGTTCAATTACATCCATGGCAGGATAAGTTCTAACAATGTGCTAATATCCAATCAAGTTGAATTAACATGTGTGCACACCCTGTATCAATGGTGCAAGCTGATTACTGGAAACACAACAACAAAACTTGCAGTAGCTGCTGAAGTGGTCTCATTTTAGTTATGACTGCCAATGACACCTAAAACTCGAAAATTATCACAAAAAGATTAAGATTATTTTTTCATCTATTATTCTAGACATGAATTACACAATAGTGCCAATGCAAAGGGGGGCGCGACAGATATGCCAGTGTTGCCTCACCTTTCACTTCATAGTCTTGGCACCAGGCCTTGAAATTAGTGTTATGTTACCTGGGACTATTCTCTCACAAATGTTTGGTAATCCAAAAATCACATTTTTTTAGTTGTCTCAAACCTCAAATGTGTCAAAGTTCCAGGTCACCAGAAGTTCGACATGAGATTCTACTGTGTGTAGCTATTGATGTTTGTATGTTAATTTGCAACCACAAATAATTAGTTATTTACTTGAATCAGGCTTTTCTACTGCTATTTATTATTCTTTCTTTGTTTGCAGGTGCCTGTTATAGAAGAAAATCCCACTTGCAGTTTGAATGTATGACAGACAGACGCTTGTCATTTATCCATCATTGGGCGCTGTATAGAATCAGTGGTTCAATTGAATCAATAAATAATGTTGTATTTCACTATTGTGTGGTTTGATTTGTGTTTTTGATGACAGGACAGTGGTGTATCACAGTGTCTATGGGGGATTTAGAAATACTATGCCAGATGAGTTGATGGATGTTTGCAGTCTATTACAAAGAAAAGAAACTAAAAGGAAATATCTACCCTTTAGGCTTTAGAGGTTCAAGGTCATTTCACTGCTTTTTGTCTTGTTCATGTTGTAAGGTTTGGCATGAATCGTAGTATTTCTACAACTGTATTCAAAGTGTTATTTAACAATTTACTGATAATGTGGCTTAAAAATACAAGTTGTAACCCAGGTCAATACAGAGGCCACAAATGGCATACACATGAAATATATAATGGCAAAAATAAACAGTAAGCAAATTTCAGACACAGCCTTTGGCTCGGAGGAGTAAACCTTGGGCAGGCTTGTTGAACAAATTTTGTCCACATCCATGTGATGCCCATGCCTTGGGGCATCCCTCAGCTCCAGGTAGGCTAAGGCACCACACCATAACTGTAGGTGAAGACCAGTGATTTTGTAACTGACATACATCACATCTGACCACCCTTTTCATTAAGCGGAGATGTTGTGATATACTGTAGCTGAAACACTTTTTAACTTCGTCATGATGTCTTCAACAATATTAGCTCAGGAAAACACCTCCGATTAAAGATGCCTATGTTGGTCCTTAGCTAACGTGTAGGATATAAAAATACCAACAATCTATAACTATTAAGCAGAGTCACCTCCTTTCATCTGGCTGGGTTGAAAGTTTACCATTGCTGACCAAAGGACGACTTCAAGTCATCAAAATTGGTTGAGGTAAAGGGGTTTAACTTGCTGCACTTGCATACAGAAGTGCATGCTAATGCGGTGTGCGACTGCTCATACCAGCACACACAACAGGACAGTTTTACTTCTATTTTAGAATGCACAGCAGTGTGGTTGACACTAATGAACGTTACACTGATCCAAAGGCTTCCCTACATCCTTCATCCATTAGATGGGCGATGGGGTAGCCTAGTGGTTCAAGCGTTCGCTCATAACACCGAAGACCCGGGTTCGATTCCCTACATGGGTGCAATGTGTGAAGCCCATTTCTGGTGCCCCCCGCCATGATATTGCAGGAATGTTGCTAAAAGCAGCATAAAAACCATACTCACTCATCCATCAGATTGCGGAGACCAGAGTCATCAATGAATGGCCTCATTATCAATTCAGAAAGCTTATCAACTAAGTCTTGGACTGTGATGGGAACAAGTAGGTGTACATGCATTACGTTTTTACAATATATCGATATAAATTTAACTTGTTAGGAGTACTGCTCTTTACTGGGCACAGTTTTTCGGATAGCTAACCCAGCTCACAATCCCTATTGATTGGCAAGCACTAAATAAACCTTAGGATCTTGTATGGGGTGTCTAATCATGAAGGAGTACCTAACCATAACAGTTCCTAAATGATAGCTTGAACAGAAAAGTGATCTAAAGGTGCTGAATAGTTCGGGGAAGTCTAGGCTAAAGCTAAGAAGCGAAAGAGCCACAGTTGGCACCCTGAGTCAATTAGCATTTGTGCTGCAGTAAGCCCTGCCCATTAAACAGCCTTGATTTCAAGTAGTCATATTTACAAGCTGATTAATATTGCTAGCATGGGTTACATAAAGTCATAATGTGACATAAACATGAGAGTCTAATACCTCAATTTCACAGGGGAAAGGTTGAAATATACTTATCTCTAACTTTGCATACTTGAATACTTTCCTAGATTCATAGCAGTACAGCCCCACAAAGATCAAGTCATGCTGGTTGTACAAGGTGGTTTAATGGATGGTTCGACTTCGTTGTTAAACTACCCTGATAGCATAAATCAAGGTTCATTTAACACCCATTACTGGATTGTCTGGTCCAGGGCCACATTTCACAAAGTAACGACTGTATCTCCTATACTGCAACATAGACTTACTACAGTGGTAACACTACGATATAACTTCGTGAGAGGGGCCCAGGCCTGAATAATTACAATTTGAACACTGCTGAGGGTGGCATTCACCCAAACAAACACAGAGAAATATAGAATATTAACAGTAAAGAGCACCTGCCAAATTTATTTTGTTTTTTTCACACAATATGTTAACATAATTATTTTTGCAAATCAAACACATATGCACACACAGGTCCAACTTATGGATGATGTGTCATAAATATCTTTGAAGTCAAAGTTACATATGAAACCAAATTAAACATTCTTGTCAGGTTGACTGTCACACAGTCAAGATTATGTATCAGTAGATGACTTTTTCTGGTCTTCTATCACACCAGTCCTCTTCTTATAAAGAAAACGTGCTTCCTCCTCTAACTCCCGCCACTGCTGTTTCCTGTGGTATGGTCTGAGGAACACGGCATATCCAGTTACCAAGGCTATCCCAATACCCATATAGACAAACATCCCCTTAGCCATGGTGAAGTGTCTTAGAGTTCAGCTGTTCCAGGAGAATGCTACCAACAATTTTCCTTTTTGAGGGGGGAGACACAGATCAGTAAGAAGCTGCTTCAGATGATCACAGTTTTATTCACTTTGGTGGCTTAAACTTGAAATTCGGTAATTCAGTACCTGTCAAGGTGATTTCAAGAACCCGGTGCACTTTCGGTGTGTGAAGGTGTAACTTCACCAGTTTTTGGTGCTTTTCGAGCTACTTCTGGGTGCTCAGTAGCATATTTTTCAAAAGCTGGCTTCCATATGTAAACGCCAGCGATTACACCGATTACAGTTACTAACGCAATCTGATGAAAAGGCAGTCGTTTTCGTAGCAACTTTCTCATACCTCCACAACGTGTCTCGCGACACCGGTTGCAAACTGTTCACATCCGGTTTTTTGAAGACATACCAGTCGATAAAATAGTAACACATTGACGGCTTCGGACATTGTCATTTTTACAACCCTATTTCTGTCAGGGCAAGGGACACTTGGGTACTGAAACTTCAAACCGTTCACTATATATATTCGGTAGCGCTTTATCATTGTTAAAACAATGAATATTATTCGAAAATGTAAAATCCAACTGAACCAAAAGCGCTCGTAAAATCATGTAATGTAGCCCCAAAAGTAGTATACTCGCAAGATCAGGAAGTGAGACATATATAGATCTCCTTGCTGGAGTCATTTACTAACATATATGAAATATAAACTTGTCGTTATTAAGTTTGTTAGCTCCTCCATTCAGTTCTGACACGAGAAGATCCGGGTTAGAGTCGATCTTCAGTAACCCATGCTTGTCGTAAGAGGCGACTGACGGGGTCGGGTGGCCATGTCATCGTATCCAAATTGCGTAGTACGATGCTCATGCTGTTGATCACTGGGTTGTATGGTCAAAACTCGATCATTTACATACCACCGGCATATTGCTGAGTGCGGCGTAAAACTAAACTCACTCAGTCACTTTTCAGTGCTTTTGTGTTTCTTTAATGGCAATATATATCTCATATCTTTCCTTGTTGAGCGTATTTTGCTAACAATTGTTACGTATCTATTTATCCAGATTAGCCACAGGAATGTCCTTGCTTGCCTACTTGTGCTCTCTTTATTCGATAGCAGATTAACTGTTATAGTATGAATATGTAAATTTCAGTGTTTATCACATATATCAGGGAGACTATATAAGTGGGAGTTGTCACTCCTCGGAAATCCCCTTAGCGTATGCCTCGGCTCGTCACGTGACCAGTGTAGCCAATATGGCGGCGGCGTAGTTTTTAAGATTGAGCCCGGTTTATTTTCAACAGCTGATTACATACGCTGAGTGTTGTGACAACTGAAAACCTACATGTAGAAGATAAGTTACCTATTGTGTCACTTCATTTTAAGTCAAATAATTGTTATTAGTGTCAGTATTAGTACAGTAGATTTGTATTAAAGTTTCAAGTCGGCATGTTGTAGCTCACTGGCTTCAAGTCTCAGTACACAGCGAAGAAAGACTAAATTATATCGCTAAATACTTCTTTCACATATTCGTTTAAGTGTTAGAAGGGAAATATACCTTTAGTTGAAAGGTGTTTGCAAGTAATAGTGATAGTTTTATAACTAAAAAAATTTGTTAGGGTGTATTTGAGGTGTGAAAAATATGACATATCGCCGATCTGCCATTGAAATACTACAGGGCATTGTTTGAGTGTTTCTAGTTATTGTTCTAAAACGTCTTTCACATACACCTTTAATTTTTATGAGGGGAATATACCATCAGGTGAAAGGTGTTTGCAAGTAATAGTGATAGTTTTATAATTTTTTTTTGTTAGGGTGTATTTGAGGTGTGTGAAAAATATGACATATCGCCGATCTGTTCTGATCCGCCATTGATGCTTGTGATGCTTGAGTGTTATAGTTCAAAAACTTCTTTCTTTCTTGTTGATCTTAGTATGTGACAAAACTGGAAAGGTGTTTACAACGCTTTGTGATAGTTCTAAACTTTCTGTTTTTGAGGGGTCTGTGACAGTGTCAGTTAACATTCTGTCAATGCCCATGCCATTCCACACGTGCAATAAGATATCTGAATTAGTTACTAATGTAAAAAAATGTCTCAAAGTAGATTTAAAAAATAAAAGGACAGCTGATGTTAACACGTGTTCTTCCGATAGTTTTGCGTTCTTTAACATGTTTGGGGAGGGATGGCCGTGGTGTATCATTTATTCTTTCATTCATTCACATATGTATTTCTTTCTTTTGTTCTTTTTCTTTCTTTCTTTCATTCATTCACATGTAATTCTTGCTCTTAATTAATTAATTCATTCATTGTAAAATTTCGACTGATACAATAAACTGGCTAAAGTACTGTTAAACGCAGCCGAAGTTGCGCTGGGAACGAACTAAGTCACTGTGTAAAGAAAGCAAGCGAGTGACCTATCCCTGTTGTAGAGTATCCCTGCATATATGAATGTCAAGATCCTATTATTCACATGCCGCTGAAATAGAAGTGCGGCATACTTGCTGTGGCGCTAAACAACATTCAGTCAGTCATCGTATCCTGCAGTAGTAACTGATTATATGCATCGATCACTTATTTGATAAAAGTACACTGCACGCATACAAACATTAATAGTTTGTCTTCATGATACGTCATCGACCTTTGATATACGTGTAGCGATTTGCATGATTACATTATTTCAGCATCCCTTACTATTTGTGAGCAGTATACGCTAACCATTGATGGCTCCGTGTTCGTTGTATAAAACGTCACAGTCATAGGTTTTCACACAAAACAGTTTATTCCAAATGCTTTAAATGTACATTAAAATATGAATACATCAACGCTGTACAATTATACATTAGTACATATAACCAGATGCTTTCAGTCACCTAGTGATTTTGATTGGAGCTCAAAACCCAACAAAGGCATCACAACAGCTTATGACGTCCAATATATAATTAAGATTCTTCACTAAATGATCAAATGCGCCTGCTTTAAGATATCCTGTGGTAAACTACACCCTTTCAGTTTCGTAAAGCACCCTCATGTTTTTCAAGTCAAAACATTGATTACACACCAGTCTCGTTTCCTGTTGACTGGGTTCCGTCTTATTGCGCAACTTAGTAAAATAACCAGTCCAGAAATTTGAGACCAATTCATTTAACTGGATACATAAATATTAATCAGTATTATTTGATACATCTAAGCCCTTGTATATTGCAACACTACGCTCATAAACCTTGCAAAGATGTCGTGCAGCGTGCTCTGTCGTGCAGCGAGCTCTAACAAACAGAAACCTGGAAATCGTAGAAATCTCAAAACGAGGCTCTGCCGCTAGAAAAGTTTGGCGGTCTGGTACGGACTTGATATTATATCAATCACATTGTACGTTACAGGACTACACTGAATAACAAAAAAACACATAACAGGTGTAACCAGTGAGCCAGATGCTTTGTGAATAATTTTACGACCTCATCAAACTGGGGCAGTCTGTGACGTCTTAGTTAAGGTCATGCTGCCTACACCCCGGTAATAAAATATAGAAATACGATGTTATTAAAGTTTAAAATTAAAATTCATTTGTAAATACCATCTTCATATGAAACAAGAGATTGGAATTCAGTGTAACCATAGTTGTTTGTGATGTCTATTTTCACTTTCACACGACAAAATTCGGATCGGCTGGAAAATAGGCTGTTGTCTAGGTTAATGAGACTGATGTTTCGGTTTGCTGTTATATAGTTCAGGGCAAATCTATACCATGACTTCATTACACAACAAATGGGGGTGGAAGAAACTACATTTCTAAAATAAAAGTTCAGATTTTTGTTGCCAAAGATAATCTTTTCTAGAAGTAAGCCCATGAAGCCGGGGGAAAGTTATTTTACGCACAATAAACTTGTTTGGTGCACTTGCTTAAGGTTCCAAAAGTGTTTTGGAAAAAATATTGCTACCTCCGTTTTTACGGAAACGAACGTACGTTTTGAATGTGTTCTGTCTATCAAAAATCCCTTATCGACATACTTCCATAGTATGAAAATAATGTATGTCCTCCTCGCCCAAGATATGTTCTGGTTCGATCTATTATTGGTTGTATAATCACCGTGTGCCCTGGGTGGAAGGAGAAGACGGGGTGGAGGAGGAGTTGTACGTGAATACCTATTGACCCGAATGATCCTACATTATGACCTCTCCTATATGAAGCAGCTCGGCCAGCTAGATCGGTATGTTCCCTGTACAACCTGTATAGCATCTGAAACTGTTATACATACGATTCTTGTGCAATATTTACATGCTACGCTGATAACAGAAAATATATTATATACATAGTTATGCGCTTGTCAGAATGGTGCCCAAAATATTCAATAAAATATATTGTCTCGTTCATCGTAGTGTACATTTTGTGATGATACAGAATCTTTGAATGTTACATACACAATTATGCATCATCCACGCGATTGGTTTGAATGTCTATCACATTTTGGGGACGAAATGCCTCTCTTAAATGTTTGTACATCCGCCTGAAGTCATGAAAGAGCTT